GTGTACACTGAAAGGGTGGATCCCGCCCAGATCCCGGTGTACACTGAAAGGGTGGATCCCGCCCAGATCCAGGTGTACACTGAAAGGGTGGATCCCGCCCGGATCCAGGTGTACACTGAAAGGGTGGATCCCGCCCGGGTCCAGGTGTACACTGAAAGGGTGGATCCCGCCCAGATCCAGGTGTACACTGAAAGGCCCGGACTAGATTTCTCAATCAACGAGGGAATGTTATAGACATATTCAAGTAAGAGAGTGTGGATTATGATAGCTTATGCAAAGGGGTAGCTCGACCCAGTTTCCAGTCGCTAGTTACTGCTACGAAATGAATCCACGAAGACTGAAACTGGGGGCGTGACGTCAAAGAGTGATGAGGATCAGGTAGGCTTGGGCTGAACGTTGAAGAACTTGCCCACTAGACGCTGGATCTGGCGTCCTGGGTGATGGGGCCTTGCCAGGCGATTTGCCGGTAAGCTTGGCGGGAGACACGTGTCACGAAGAAGAGAAAGCGGGTGGGGATGCTGGAGGAGAAGTACTGCTGTCGGAATATGACCGGGCCCAGAACAGATTGGTGCACCCGGACCGGGACGGAGGCGGCAGAGGACGACCTACCCACTTTCTTAATCAGGTTGGTAAGCGTATCATACTACCAGCTTCGCACCTGGGTAGCCCGCGGTCCATGTACAAGTCGTATCAAGATTCGATGGCAATTGTACGCGAGTATGGACGGCCCGACGTCTTCCTCACTGAAACGTGCAACCCTAAGTGGGACGAGATTCTTGAAGCGATACCTTCCGAGACCCAGACAGCTCAAGATCGACCAGACATCGTGGCTCGCGTGTGGCAGCAGAAACTGCAAGCGATGCTTGACGATTTAAACCAAGGCGCTCTGGGGCGAGTGCGCGCGCGGATTTACGTTGTCGAGTTTCAGAAACGAGGGCTCCCCCACGCTCACGTACTGATTATTTGGCTGACGAAGACAAACCTCGTGCCCGCGAGATCTTAGACAAGATGGTATGCGCTGAGATCCCAGATAAGGATACAAACCCTCAGCTGTATGAGACGGTCATGTCATGCATGCTCCATGGTCCATGCGGGCCTGTAAACCCTTCCTGCGCGTGCATGAAGGACGGCAAGTGCACCAAAGGATATCCGAAGCCCTTAGCAGAAGTTACACAAGCCAATGCCAATGGATATCCAGTCTACAGACGACGTCGACGGCAACAAGGTGTTCTAAAGTTCAAAGGCAGAGAGTACGACAATGCTACGATCAACCAGTGGGTTGTACCGTACAACCCGTACTTATCCCAGAAGTACAACTGCCACATCAATGTGGAAGTGTGCACGGATATTACTGCGGTTAAATACCAGTACAAGTATGTGTACAAAGGACCCGACATGGCTATACTCACTGTGGAAGAGGTCCGAGGAGGGCAGCAGAGTGCGCGTCGAGAACCAAATAAGATTCTACGTTTCTTGAGCGCCCGGTACATTTTTCCGGTGGAAGCTTGCATGCGCCTGCTCGATTTCACAATTCAGGGGAAAAACCATGCGGTGACACAGCTAACGGTTCATCTCGAGTCAGGCCAGACGATTTGCTTTCGCGAGACGGAAAACCCGGAGGCGGTTTTGGAACGTGGTAGTCACACGATGCTGACCAGATTCTTTGAGTTGTGTGCGAGCGAAATGCCCGAGAATCATATTGCCAGAACGATGTTGTATCAGGACATCCCTAAAGAGTTCTGCTGGAAAGCGCCGAAGAAAGGTCAACCGAAAAGGTGGGTTCGCAGAAAACAGTATCAAGCTGCCGTTGGTCGCACGATTCACGTGTCTCCTCGCGATATGGAGCGCTTCTATCTTCGGCTACTGCTCTGTCAGCGTAGAGGCCCAACGCCGTTTGAAGAGTTGAGAGCGGTTAACGGGATTGTCTGCCCCACATTCCAAATTGCGGCGCGGGAGGCTGGCTACTTGGAAAATGATAACGAGTGGGTTTCGTGTTTGAGGGAAGCGGCTGAGTTACAAATGCCGTATCAACTACGCCAGCTCCTTGTCACCATTCTGGTGTATTCAGCTCCAGCAAATGTTGGTGTTCTATGGGATCGGTTCTTTGCGGATCTTTCCCAAGACTTCGCACGCAAACATCAGGCTTTGATGGACCCCTTCAAGTCGGCGTTTGTCGAATTTGAAACGCTGATGAGCATTCAAGAACTACTTCAAGCGAGTGGGTATGCGGTAGCTGACTTCGACGAGCTTCCTCAGTTGGGGTCGTTCCCAACATTGATTCGTGAAGCGCTTCGCCAAAACGAATTACTACGACGTGAGCTCACTGGATACGATGCGTCAGCTTTGGAGGTGATTGTAAACACAGAAGATTAGCTAAACGAAAGTCAGCGGGTGGCTTACGACCATATTATTGAAGCGGTTGAATGCCCGGAGAAGGCAAGAAACTATTTTTTGTCGATGGCCCGGGTGGTACTGGAAAATCTAACACTGCTTCGAAACATACTGG